CCATGTAGTACTTTAGAACGCGATTGTACCCACACCCCCTCCGCTATCGACCTGTATCTAGCTCGGTACGAAACACGCGGTCGTAAGAAAAAAGGGCGCATCTAACAATTTATGAATAAATGAGTTAAATATACCATTCGATTCATGATAAGAAGGCGCATCTACTAAATTTTTTTAATATTCACAAATATCAATATTTTAGAAATTATCGTAAGAATTTTAGACGTAACTGTTGATCACAGATGACTTTTTTTAGTAGAAAAGACTTATACAAATTCAACATAAAAGAAAAGACTTATTTAACCAGTTGCTACGTCATCTTTAACAATATTTGCATCGATTACTTAAATTTCAATTATTCTTGGTCTTGTCTTATTATTCTATATCTTATTATTAAGAGCTTATATCTTATTGTTAAGAGCTGGTGTTTCACATGTGGTCCCATATAAATTTGATCGAGGTCAGACCAATAGTTTTTGAGTTATCCTTAATTATTTATATTAAAGTCGGTTGTACAAAATTTTTAATTTTTAATTATTATCGTAGTAAGTCTTGTATGATATCCCCTTTAAAATCATTACTTTTTAAAATTATTATTTTTTGTGTCTCACTACCAATGCTTTTCTAATATTTATTAAAAAAAAAGTAGTAAATTACTATTAGCGTCCTTTCAACTTCAAATGACCTTTCCAAAATATGTAAAATTGTTAAATGAATGGCAGTTTTTTTTTAATTTATTAGGTTGGAAAGACGCAAATAGTTATATGCGTCTTTCCTTCGATGTTTTTGTGTTGCCAGGTGTATTTTTTAAGCTAAGATGAAAAGGAAAATTCGTTTTATTTAAATAAATAAACAAATTTAAAAAAAAATAAGTTCGTCCTTAAAATCTTCATGTCTCTACGTATATATTTCAATATAGATACCTTTTAATATACTTTAGACACGGGGTCTGAAAGAAAAATTCTACAATTTATTTTTTATTTCCATTTTACGTTTTTGTTAGTTACTTCCTTTTTTATTATGACGGCAGAATGCCTAACCCTGTCGCCTCACGCTTGTGACGCAGTAATTTTCAGCCTTGACGGGGTTCGTTGGTTTTAGTTTTTGAGACAGTTTCGTGTTGATTTTGTACACGCGTGCGCGAGCGACAGTTCAATCGTTTTGTTTAATAAATTTACTTGTGATTACGTGTTGATATTAAAGTTTTTGTTACGTTTTTGGATTCTTTTTTGTTTTAATAATGCCTAACGCGTACGTTTATAGTGGTTATTATACTGCCGTTGGTTATTATATCAGCAACAACGTGTGCCTGGTTCCATTGAGCACATTATCTGGACGGATGAGTCGACATTTACCAGAAACGGCCTGTGGAACCGAAGAAATACACACGTGTATTCAGAGGTTAACCCGCACGCTGTTCGACAAACCGGGCACCAAACCCGATGGTCGGTTAACGTATGGACAGGTTTATTTAAGGATCGCATACTGGGACCAGTGTTTCTGCCAGAGCGACTGAACGGACAGCGATACCTAAACTTTATAAATGAACAGTTGGTTGACATTTTAAACGACCTATCGTTGGCTGAATATCGCCGCACATAGTTCCAACATGATGGTGCCCCTCCACATTTCGTGAGGTTCGTCCGTGAGCGCCTCAATGAGCTATTTGATGATCGCTGGATCGGCAGACTAGGACCACACGCTTGCCCACCTCGCTCACCAGATCTGACTCCGTTAGACTTCTTTTTGTGGGGTATGTGAAAGAAAGGGTTTTTAATCGTGAATGTGATAGTGCTGAAGAAATGCGCCAAATGATCGTGGATGCTTTCGAGAAACTACGTACGGACTGTGTCGAAGATCACACGATGATGCCCCGCCTGCACCCAAGTCTGCCTTGAAATGAATGGAGCACAATTTGAGCCGCATCTCATAAGACCACGGAGGATTTAGAGCAGTAAGCTGTTTCATAACTATTTTTTTTTAAATAACTTAGTACTAGACTAATCTGAATAGGTACATAACTGAATACACGAGAATAATAAACATACCTACACGATGAATAAAAACGCATGACTCCAACCTTGGTTACATTTCATTTAAGTATTTCTTCATTAGCGGGGAATCGAACCAGTTATTTGGGTTATTTAACCTGTAAATTCGGATTAAAGTGGCTACGTGGAGATAAGCACAGTGGCAAAATAGTAGGTTAAGTAGATAAGTTAGGTATTTAGACACGTGTTGTAAATTATTAGGTATTGTTGGAAGGCCCGCTAGTTGCGGGCCGCGCGAATTTGTGTTCGCGCGTACATTGACCTTTATCTAGCTCAGGTCAGGTGATATCAATTCAGTCATTCCACTGCTGGTTTTATGTTTCAGTATTTTCATGATATTTTTTATGAAATTATCGTTTCATTTAGCTGTACTAACATGATGGCGCGTGAATAAAGCTAATAAAACCTTGTAAAAAGATGATTTTTTTTTCATCAGGATCGAATTTATTTGTGACCCATGATCAAAGGTATACTTGGTGTTGTCGCCTGTCTTAGTTTTCGGGAGCGTTCCAAAAACACCCTGTATAATATGGAATCAGTCGAACATAATATCGTAAGTTTCATAAACACAGTCAATATAAATATTATATTAACATGAAATTGCATCGAATTCTTAATAAAACCTTAAAAAAAACATTTCAGTAATTTTAATATGTTAAATTTATTAGAATTATAATTATATTTTTATTAGAAATATAATTGTTACATACATTTAAAAAATATTTTGATGGTAAATGAGTTGATTTTTCTCACCAAATACATTGAAGTTCAGCCAAGTAAGTCATGAAAAGATGTCGCGTTTTAAAACTGCCTTAAAAATGATTTTTATATTATTTACATATATAATTTGTTTTCATTTCTTTTGTTTAAATTTTATTAATAATTTAAACGATCAGCATCTCTACAATTTAAATTGCCTACGCACTGGAGTAAAATTCAAGTTTTTTTTTAATAAAAGTAACAATGTTGTTGTCAATTTTTAAATTTTTTGTTAGTAGACTTTAAAAACACTGTTCATATCGCAACAAAATAACAATGACAGTAATAATATTCAAATAATATTAAATGTTGTCGTTACCTGCTATATATAATGTACTCTGTGGTTATTTGAGTGGTTATTGCGTTCGTTAAGGTAGGGTATGTAGGTTAATGTCTTCAAAGCGTACGCTCAACGATTTAATTATAAATTAACTACTTAATCTGATGATTTCTGCACATTTTATATACACAATTAAAAACTTTACATAATATTATGTATGCAGGTCGATAAAATTAAACATGTTGTTACATTTTTCTAGAGTATGGTTTGGTCACTGTCAACCTATCCGTTTTTTGAAATAAAATACCACGTACCTAAACAAACAATTCTTTAACTAGTTAAAGATTATTTTTATCTATCTAATAACATTTGCTTTTATTTAAACTTACTGAATGTACTTATAAATTACTACCTAATGTTTACTGTGTAATGGCGGTGTAAGAATATCTACTATCCCATATCGTTCCGTGGATGACTATATAAGGGATAGGGAGAAAATGAAATAGGAGTAGCATCTTCCTGATAACAGCTCATAATAATAAAAAAAAAACTGCTTTTGCCAACCCGCCTGCCAAGCTTGGTAACTGTGGCAATACTACCCCCTATGAGGAAATACATGGCGGAGGCCTATGTACAGCCGTGGGCTTATAGGCTGTAATGGATCGATGGATGGATGAATGTTTAAATGGAAGCACGGTAAAACTATAGCCGTGTTATATTCTATTGATGAAATATATGAACGTTACGCAGTAGAAAAAATGTTATTGTCATTTAAACTCTGAACTATGCAAAATCTAAAAGGGTTTTAGAAACTTTAGTTGATTTATAAGGCGTCATCGTTATTATTGTCAGATCTCAACAATCAAATCTGGTTGGTACAAAACACAGAACCGAAAATTATTAAGAAATATTCCTATATCCTAATTATGTCGTTTGTCTATTTTTAAGTCAATTGCTGGATATCTATATAACCCTTGCATGTGTAATACAGACCCTATCGCCTTATTTTGGATTTAGGTAATTCATTTTTGATTGAAATTTCCACAGTCAGTTCGGTCGTCAGAGCCTCGTTTGCCAGTAGAGTAGTACACCGCGTAAGTGAGGTTGACGTTTGTAAAAAAAGTTCAAATCTTCTCTCGTCCTATCCTATTTATGTTTTTTTTATAGGATAGGGTGACAAATGAGCACACAGTCCATTTGATGGTAAGTGGTTGCTATGGCCTCATCTATCCTCGATTACGAATCAAAATGCAGATGCGTTGTCACCCGTGAGGACTAAGGTGGAATGCCTCGTTTCCAGTAAAAAGGGTCTCCAGTCTTCTACACTCATCATACGAAACACAGCAGCATTAAGCTTCTATTTTACGCTGGTATTCTGTGAGAGCGTGGTCCTTCCCCGGTCGAGCCGACCCATTTGCGCTACAACTATACCTACTACTAATATAACTGCAGCATGGCTCTACCACGTAAAAATGTTATATTTATGTACCATATTGTGGATAAAAATGCATCTTATTTTCATAATGTTCTTTCACTTTTAATTGTTTCTTTGGAACGTTTTCATAAGATTAACAGTCTTTATAAGTTATATTTAGCCCCCCTTTTGAAACAGTAATGGTGGCCCCTAAAGATTATGCCGGATGTGTACCGGGGTAGCATGCGGGCTTATGCACATTAAATATCCGTGTCTTGTTACTTCATAGATGCAAAGAGATAACATGTATTTTATTAAGTATATTTTAGTATATATACTTAAGAAATTTATATTAAAAATATTTTACACTTATAAATCACCTTATGTTTGGCCCATCGTAGGAAATGTATTTCCGAAAATGTTTGCAAAAATCGTTATAAAAATTATATTTAAGGTTAAATAATTAAACATGCCATTTGAGTGTTTCAGAATATCATTAATTTGATGATCTCCTTTCTTCCATTTGCTGTAGTTCTTGTTTGACAATATTGAAATACTCTTCTTCAGTATGACGCTCGATGTCATCATCTCCTGTGCTATCACCAATAGACGACATTTCTGTTTTCTCATTTACACGTTGTTTTAAATGGATTTCTTTAAGTCTCATATCTAAAATATGCTCACGCTTTGTTTCGCGGCTATATATTTGGTTTACGAGTTGTTTATCACATTCTCCAGGAATTGTCATATTTTCAGAAAGTTTCAACAAAAATACCGTTCCTTGATTATCACCAACTGCCATTAATTTTCCATCAACATGAGGAGTTAGCTTAGTTAATCCATTCTTAGACACATGCCGAGTCGTTACAGGCTCACTGCAATTCCGTAATATGTCCCAATAATAAAAGTAACCACCCTCGCAGATGACCATATAACTTGAATATCGTAATGGTGCCCAAGTTACATCGGTCACTTGGTAGCGAAATGGTTTTGTAACAATTATCGGTGCCGATCGCACTTCCTCGCTCCAGATGCGGACAGTCCAATCTCCACATGTTATAAACATCCTCAGTGTACATGTACTGCGGTGTATTGCACGAACTGGCCCTGTGTGTGCCTCCCAATATGACGTTAAGATTTCGGAGCGAGTTCGACCCATGCGATTGACATTGATAACTAATCCGGACTCTGTACCACACAGGAATTTTGTAGGTATACCACGATCAAACTCTAAACAGCTTACACCTTCACTACTTTCTTCCACTGGAAATTTTATTGACATAGATAATTGATCTAATGGGACAGATAAATTCCTTGTATCCCACCAGAGACATTTACCATCTAATGAACCGGTAAAAAATTGTGTATTAGTTCTAGAGTGCGTATATAACAAAGCTGACACTGGGCTGAAGTGAGAGTTGTAAATAGAGCTCTTAGAAACTGCATTTTTGCCTTTACGAACATCGAATATAGTAACCGTACCATTTTCAAGTCCTGCAATGAAAATTTCAGGTTCTTCGGGTGAACAAGCTAACTGCCAACAAGGGCATTCTGGTAGCATTTGGGAGATTGGAGATGTCTGTCTTTTTATATCCCATACATAGCAATCGTTTATTCCATTTGAATTACTTCCTATCGTTTTATAGCAGTATGATACGGCTAAGCGGGCAAGTTGTTCGTTAGTCCAGACAATACATGATACTGGACGTTTATAAGGATCGGGATACGCATTAGCAATTTGAACACTATACTCCTCTACAGGTGGTTGTGGGTTCATACCTGAAAAGTACGTTTGATACATATCTATAGCATTGTTTTGGTCAATATAATGTTCTATTTGAGGTTTCAGGCTCAAAATTGTGTGTATATAATTGTCTTCATGTTGCACACGACGTCTGTGCCTTATAACGTGGTCTTCGTTATAAAGATGGACTTCACGCGGCCATCCACCTTCAGTGTGATTTATGCCTTGTTCGTGAGTTACCAATTCCTTTGTGTTTGCATCGTGTTCCGCTTGTGGCATTGTTGCTTGCACTTGTCGATGTACTGGATTGCGGAGAATGTACAGTTTTTGCTCTTCCTTATTCGAATTTATTGAATCTAGGAGATGGGCTGGAACTATTTGGAAAAGAGGTTGCCGTCCAAAGTCTTTCCTTTTTTTTGAATACTCGTATCTTGATTTCATATATTTAGACATTGCTATTGGTTCTAATTATATAATATTATTTGTTAAAAACAATATTATTTGTTTTTAATATGTCAAAGTTTGCTACCTACTGAAGGAATTGATTGCTAAATCAGTTAGGCCGTGAAATAAATTTGTGACGCTGCTGTATCGATAACATTTATATGCATAGGTGGTATCCATATGTACTTGTTGTTTTAAAAAGATTTTGTCCCAAAATATTGTTTGTTATTTTTAGTCTCTCTATTTAATATATATATTGATAAACATGTAACTATTTATATTTATATTAATGTTGTATTCGTTTGAGATTCTAAAATCATTGTTTAATTTTCAGTTACGTACGACTGCTGCATTGTTCTCGGTTATACCAGGAAGTGTCGCAAAAACATTACAGAGGTAAGTAGTTATTATGCGACTTTAAATTGAAGATTGTTTTAGATTGAGTTCATTTTAACATAGTAAAATTAATTTACTTTAAATATGTATGTTATAGCAAACAACGATAATTGTATTAATTTATTAAACATTCTCACCGTTAAAAAATAAATTTCGTTTCCACTAACAAAAAACTTGGTTTTATCACATATTTCCACTTCACTAGATATTGTTTTACACCAATAGTATCGATATTCTGTCACGAAGTGGTCACAGCACTTTTGCTTCGCGTTCGTATTTTAATACAAATCGAAAGTTGCGACTGGGCCTCTTGCGACCGGGCTTGCGCGTGCGCTAACACAGTCACTTCACTGGCGACTGACGCGTGACTGTGACTTGAACTAGGAACTTAAACAGAAACAGAATAAACGTAGGCCCACGTTACAATCAAATAATAGGTACTAAAACTGGTTTGCTCTGTTCGAGTTCCACGGCTACTAATGTGGTGACTGATGATTATGCAGTTGATTTTCTATTGATGGCCGTGTGCCTGTTTCCTTAAACGCAACACGGCAGTTCTCGTAGGCCTGTATGTGGGAAAACCTGGATCCTGTGTGCCGCTGATTTTGTAAAATTTTTATGTCTTGATTGAAAAAATGTGTATACTTACCTATTTATTTTTTAGAACATCTGGATCTGTCTGGCTGTCTTACAGTTACGTTAAGTTTTAACCAAAGCTCAAAATTAAACTCAGTGAGATATAAATAATTGTAAAACAACATGTAATTGTCAAGATGATGATATCATGACCAATATCCGATATACATTATTGTATGGAGTACTGTAATTTGTCATTTCTAAAATATTATGTTTGTATCAATTAATGTTAGCAATAACTTGAAAGAAACATTAATATGAACTTTTAGTTATTATTTGTAGGAAGTCATGTTGTTTTTCGTAGAATATAAAAACTTATATTTAAATATTTTTGTACTCCGAAAAATTATACCACGACTATTATTAATATTTATTATATATCACCGTGTACCAAACCACCGAGGTTGTATGGGTTACCCAAAATACACAAACCGAACGCTCCACTACGTGCTATAGTGAGCCAAATTCATTCACCAACGTATAAATTGGCTCAACACTTAGCATACATACTGTCACCACTGAGAGGACACATAAAAGCACATACAAAGGATTCATACCATTTTGTCAGTGAGATAAAAGACGTACATCTTGCTGACAATTAAACTATGGTCAGTTTTGATGTCTGTTCATTATTTACATGCGTACCTATTAAAGACTGCAAATCAATTGTGACTAGGACGCTAGAAAAAACAACATGCCTGCGGAATATGCATTACTAATAGGACGTTGCCTCATAACTGGCTATCTATTATAGAATGAAGAGATCTACAAGCAAGTAGATGGTGTGGCGATGGGCTCACCTGTATCTCCCATTGTCGCCGATATATTCATGGAGAACTTCGAGGATAAAGCCTTTCTCACTGAAGATTCTACAAGCGGTACGTAGACGATAATTTCACAATTTACCATCAGACAAAGTTACCGCATTCTTACACCACCATAAACCCCATAAACTACATAAACTCTAATATTTAATTAACTATGGAGTTAGAAGCAAATAATTATTTAGCTTTCCTAGATGTTTTAGTCATTCGAAATCCTAATAACACCATCAGTAATACTGTGTATAGAAAAAAGACCCATATTAACCGATATTTAAACGGTGAATCTCATCACCGTCCTTCACGATTAGCTACCGTGGGAAAATCTTTTTTTTATAGGATAAGGGTAACAAACGAGCTTACAGGCCACCTGACGGTAAGTGGTTGCTGTGGCCCATAGACTCTACATTTATCCTCAATTATGAATCAAAATGCAGATGCGTTGTCCCCCGTGAGGACGAAGAGGGAATGCCTCGTTTCCAGTGAAAAGGGTCTCCGGTTCTCTACACTCACCATACGAAACACAGCAGTGTTAAGCTGCTATTTTACGCTGGTATTCTGTGAGAGCGTAGTCCTACCCCGGTCGTGCCGACCCATTCGTGCTACAACTATACTACTAATATAGCTGCAGCATGGCTCTACCAGCTCTACCAGCAAATAGCAGCTTAACACAAGCTGCTATTTTATACTGGTATTATATAATAATTTAACTTATATTTAAGTTAAATAATTTATAAAAATATATTCCTTGATTAACTGGCATTCACTTTTATTTGGTTGTTAAGTAAAAATAAAAACTTCATACAGTTATTTTTTAAAACAAAATATGGTAGATTTATTAATTTCGAAGCAAACTGCCTGTTTGTGGTTAATTAAAATAATGCAAGCGTTTAATTGCGGTCAAGAGTTAACTAGTATAATTGGTTATTAGGCAAGTGACGGTCAGAAGGATCGGGCATTTGACTTGATTAGCAATTGACTTGAGGCCTGGCCTCGAAGTCAGGGCACTATTTTCATCTTTAATGTCACGTGTGAAATATGTCTTCATAGAGGTAGGTTTATGAACGTAATGGCAACAATATCTATCCTTTTAGATCAAATAAAAACACATACTACTTAGTCACATAACATTAGGTATCTAAGTACACAAGCCGAAGCATTTTCGATTTAGAATAACTTCGTTGAAAAGGCAAGCAATATTAACGTGTCAAGTATTAACTTAAACTGGGATTTAGTATGTACGTTTATAATTATTTTAATAATGTAAGCCTAACGAGGTCAATACAATCAGATCTGTAAGATGTCACGTTCAGTAACGTGTTATTAAATTGTCTTGTTAAATCGTCCACGAGTCCATTGTCTTATAAAAAATAATGTTTTGAAAGAACATTGCTCTTAGCAATAATAATAAAACATAGTACGATAGTAAATTAAGTAGCTTTAGTTTTTAGTTTAAAACAAAAAGACCACGTGTACTATAACAGTAATCAATATTAATTATTGTGATTAAAAAACAACGTTTCATTTTTGTAATTAATAGATGTCATAGGTAGAAAAGGCGTACGCACTAAAAAGAGACATAAAAATATTTAACAAATTTTGTAACTGAAATGGAACGATACTTGATATTTGCGTCATTAGGTATCTTTAATAAGAAGGAAAAATCTCATCAAATAAACTAATTTTTAAAAGGTCCATATTAGTAAAAATAAGTTGTAATATATGACGTACTGTATGGCGACAGGATATCACAGTAGGTAATGTAGTTTTTAAATTTAAGATTTTGCGTGAAATAATTAGATATTCTACGCATGTTAAAAACACAATGTCCTGTGCACTTGTCTGACGTATCGTTACATCGGGACTCATTCTACAAAGCTGAATGAATTCTTTTCATCCACAATGAACAATGGAGCGTGCCAAAGAGACGAACGATCGCAGAATGATCCTTTGTTAAATGAACATGGTTATGTCCACCGCAAATTATTGACGCAATTCAAGCCAACATTTTTCATGTTATATTTAAAATAATAGTCGCCTTTTTAATACTTCACGTATAGGTAAATACAATAATCTTTATGTATATAATTGTTAGAACGTTAGTGATCCTGTAACTTCTGAACGAATTGACCGATGGAGGTGATATTCACACAATAATATATTGGTTTTTTGATTGGATGGTTCAAAGCTATGAGTATTTATTTATTTATTCACTCTTTATTGTACACCTTAATAAAAGTATTACAAATTACGACTTAATGCTTTTTGGCATTTTCTGCTAGAGTATGTATATAACGATCTGAACGGTGGCGCTGTAGTCGAATTACGAAATATTTGATGAATTGCCCTCATGCATTCACATCAATTGCCACATGAATTGAGATCCCCCTCGTTACATGATGCGATGACGACCGCATGACGACTGTGAGAGGTGTGTAAAAGAAATCGGGATAAGTTGCGTGACTGAGAAAACACTAAATTGTATTGATAATTGATACGGGTCACAAAAGTTCTAATTCCTGCTGAGTAAAGAAGGAAAACTTTGTGTAAAACAAGGCGTGTACCTTGTGTAGTAATTTTTTTTAAAAAGGATATGGTGATAAACGAGCACACAGTCCACCTGACGGTAAGTGGTTGCTGTGGCCCATTGACATCTACATTTATCCTCGTTTGCGAATCAAAATGCAGATGCATTGTCACTCGTGAGTACTAAGATGGAATGCCTCTTTTCCAGTAAAAAGGGTCTCCGGTTCTCTACACTCACCATACGAAGCACAGCAGTGTTAAGCTGCTATTTTACGCTGGTATTCTGTGAGAGCGTGGTCCTACCCCGGTCGAGCCGACCCATTCGTGCTACAATTATACTACTAGTATAGCTGCAGCATGGCTCTACCAATTTTATATAGGCTGTTCCTCTAGTTTTACTTTACGGGACCTTTCAGTATTGTGAAATAAAACAGGAAAGAGGCAGTTACTAGTAGTACGAAAGAACACTAGAGATTACAGTCGTCATGTCTAGTGAAATGACGTCGTATATAATACTAAAACAGGGGTGCCATTTTCTGGTAATTCAGAAAGTATGAGTGTACTTATTCTCATATTTGGAAAAGAATAGAGAGACCAATAATAGCTATTTGTCATTCAAACTCTACGCAT